CAAGAAAAAAATATCTAAAGAAAGTGCTTGATTTTTTTAAAATCCTGCCTACTAGTTAACTGGTAAATGGATTCACTTTTTGCAGTCAACATTACACTTTAGTATACTGACAGAAGCAATCCCTGGCGAGACCTAGAGTTTCACGGAGGCTGATTTAGGGGGGAGGGGATATTTTGAACATGTTGATTTTTTTTATGTCAGAATATTTATTTCCAAAATTAACCAGCAATGCTTTCCCATCCCCAGTTGGGAAACCAACAACAACAGCAACAACAACATTTTTTATTTGTCAATCAAGACGCCCCGAGGAGCAGTACAATTACCCCCCCCCCCCACCCCCCCCCCCCCAAATTGAACATGCTTACAGACGAACCGGCTTATCGTTTTGCAATTAACAGACGCTCTGGGATTATTTTTTTTTACATGACGTAAACCTTTATCTGTAATCTGTAAACGAATTTCTGCCAATCAAGGCACACCTCCGTATAGAGGAAAGTAGTTCCGTCAATGAGATTCCTCCACCAGTATATACACAGTTCAATTTATGGTTCACAATAGTTCGTACATAAAGTTATCTTATTTAATTATATATATGTTTACGCCACGACAGTGTTAAAAATATTACTAATGCAATTAAAATGGTAAAACTTAATTTTAAAAATAAGTTAACAATAAAGACAAAAAGTACAATTATATTTTTTAACACTGTTAAAAAAAAAGAAAGTTTATGCAATCCGTAAAAAAAATTGAATAGACTTTAAAACTATTAAAAGAGGTAGATCTATGTGTATCCCCACACACACACACACATATATATATATATATATTATAACTAAAATGAATTCACAGTTCTTCATTTTCTGTTTGCTTTTGTATCAATTTTTGTCAACACATCATAGCGCTCGGAATAAAGTGTATATAACAGTTGGCGGCATAGCGGTACCAAGTGATTACCGACTCGGTCTTCAACATCCTTGCACATCTTCTTTGAGAGGTAATAATAAGGGTTAATTATTAATGTTATTAGGTCAATAGGAGTTTGCAGGCTTTCTCTTGCTAAAACCAGACTACCTTCGTGTAGTATTTTGCCGATAAGAGATGCATGTTCTTATTTCTGATGTTGTTTCACACAGTAAGATAAAATGTTCAATGGTTTCATCAGCTTTATTACAGAGTCTACACATCGGATTTGTTACATAATTTGAATATTCCGCTTTATTAGATTGCAGTATGTAGGTTCCTGTTACGAATTTGGAGCAAATGGACAGTTTCTTTATCTCAGTTATATTTGCACTTGTTGTTTTAAGTAAAGGATGGATTCTGCCAATATCATATTCACATTTAAGATATCTTAATGTTGAGTACCCCTTTATTTTGGTCTTTATGGCACCCTCCCAGTACTTGTGAATCTTTTTGGTTGTAAACCTCTTCCATTCAATTTTTGTTAATGGCTTTTCAAGATACTGTTCTAACTCTACGATGTCATACTTGCCACATATCTTTTTCAGATCAATAAACCAGCTATTGCTTGAGTAGGTTTTAATTTGAAGTTGACGTTCCGCTATTCTCCATTCTAAGGACGATCTTTCAGCTCTGGTTATATTCCCAAATAGTGTTATAATTTTAATATGGATCTCTGCTTCAAGTGGGAGCAAACCTGATAATAAATAGACAGCCGGGTCAGCCACGTTTAGTTTGAGAGATAAAATCTGTTTAATCCACCTTCTATGTTGTTGTTGTATAAGATCTAAGTTTTTACCTGATGGTATCAAGACTTCTAGGCCGTAGGTCAAAACTGGTAAGATATATGTTCTAAATAAGGAAATTAGTGTTTCAGGGTCTAAACCATTTTCCCCATGTAATCCTGCACCCATAAGACTGTACATAGATCTTCTGGCTTTTTTTATATTTTCAGTGATGGTTGCATTAGTAGAGTCTTTTTGAGATTTTTTTATTCCAATATGAGAAGAGTCTTGAACAATGGGCATATCTATATTTTTAAGTTTCCAAAAACCTTGTTCAATATCTAGCATTTTGTTACATGTTTTGATTGGCAAGACTACACTTTTTTGAGGCTATAATAGATATCCCTCTCTTTGGCTGAAATCAACTGCTATATTTATCATGTTTTGGAGTTCAAAGGGATTGTTGGATATCAAGGCAACATCGTCTGCACAGGTCGGCGCACAACAGTTTATATTCCCAATTTTGGCTCCTAGTCCTGAGTTGCTCAGAATTTGTAGTAGAGGGTTGATATAAACTTTGTAGAGGTCAGCGCTAATGGCTCCACCTTGTCTTACACCTTGTTCAATATTGAATAAGCAATTAGACAATGTATTGTCCCATTTTACACAGGATGTTGCATTTTCATATAAATTGCTGATCAGTAGAATAGATTGCTGTGAGAAACCAATTTGAAAAAGACGTCGTATTAAGTTTTTATGAACTACAACATCAAAAGCAGATTTTCCATCCAATAATGCAACATTGGTTGGTAACTTGTGATCTTTATTTTCTCTTTCAAATTCTTCAATGAACAGTTCACATAGCAGTGGAGTGGATTTTGCTGTAAAGCCTTTTTGCAGTGGGTTTTGATGTTTCAAGATCTTATTGTTTTCTCTTCCTTTGATTATAATCTCTATGATCTTCGAGTAAGTTGGTGTTACAGTGATCCCACGGTAATTTTTAGCATTCTTTATGTCACCTTTGTTTTTTTTTAATACAGGGAAAAGAGTTCCAATTTTGAGTAAGTTTGGTATATAGCAGTGTTCAAAACTTGTGTTAAGTAGAAGTTGAAGATACTCAAGAAGTATTTCGCTGGCATGAATGAAATTTTCAGCAGTGATTCCATAATAGTCCATAGCTTTATTTGTATTTAATTTTTTGACAGCATTTTTCAATTCTTGGATAAGGACTTTTTCATGTGAATAATTTTCCTTACATATCTTTAATATTAGTTTTGTTTCATTCGTTTTCATGGAGCAATTTTTAAGGTTGTATCTGATATAATTTTGGTCAGTTCATCAAAAGCTTGATCTAAATTCAATTTTTCTGATATTGGTTTAATTTTCTCTAATTTCTCATTAAGCAAAGTTTTATATTCATTCTTGTCCACCTTATTCCAGTTAACTTTGGAGTTTTTTGCATTAGTATATTCTTTCATCTTCTTATAGGATATATCACATTTCAATGCATATATATGGCAACATCAGTGGAATATGATCAGAGACGTTGATATTTATTTCCTGTTTTTCAATCTTGACAACATTTCCCTTATAACGGTCTTGAAATAGAATGTAGTCTATTGCAGACATGGCTTGGCCACTTGGGTGTATGAAAGTAATTCCACATTCAAATGTTGAAAGTTTATGTTCTGTCATAAAATTAGATATGGCTGTTTTTCGTTGAGAATTTGTTGAACTGTATATGTTTTCATCGAGGTCTCCACCTATTATCAATTGATGAGAGTTTTTAAAGGTTTCAAAAATTTCATGAAGGTGGTCCAGACATTCATTGATTTCAGTAAAGTGGTTATTAGAGCCCCTACATGGCAGGTAGACAGATATAAATATAGTATTGGGATTTCCTATAATTTCAATACATTGAATTCTCTCATTTCCTAGTTGCAGCGGAGTAATTATATTCAGAGAGAGATTGATTTACCAAATTTTGACCAATCAATTGGTTCTTTATGTCAGTATGTTAAAAATAAACTATGTGAAAGTTATTTAACATTTTGGGATAAGCTGAAGTATCAAAAATTAACTGTGAAAAAGGGAAGCTTGGTACTTATTTTTCTATAAAAAAATGTTTTTTTCAAAAAGAAAAATATTTAGAACTACAGTATTCTAAAAAAAGACAGTCAATTTGTAAATTAAGAATAAGTGCTCACTCTTTAAAAATTGAGACAGACAGATATTCAAAAAAATATATTGAAAGATCTGAGCGTCTTTGTTCAAATTGCTCACTTGGTAAAGTTGAAGATGAGCTTCATTTTTTGTTAGAATGTCCTCTTTATGATACTCAAAGGGAAGACTTTTTCCATACATATCTGACAATTGTTATAATTTTAAAAATTTAAATAAATCTTCTAAATTTTGATAGCTCATGACTCAAGAAAATGTAACTGTTATGGTAAAACTGGTCTGTTATATTTGTGACTGTTTTGAATTAAGGAGATCAGGTATGCATATTGACACTAAGTCAAGTAAATGATTTGAGAATGAATGCATGTAATGTAATTTTATTCTTTTATTCACAATACTGATATATGTGGTTTTTGGCTCTGATTCTGACCAATGCTAATATACTAAATATATATTTTCAAGTGACTATTATTGTTGTTGTTACCAATTATGTAAATCAATTTTATGCCCTTCATGGGCCCTGTAATTTGGGAAATAAAAATATTCTATTCTATTCTATTCTATTGTCAAACTCACGTTTCCAAAGAATAGCCACTCCTCCGTAACCTCGAGGCATATGACTTGGTGGAATGGGATCATACATATCATATTTATACATATTTAATTTATAGATTGTCATGAAACTTAGGCATACGCTAATATTCAAGATCAAGAAAAAAATATCTAAAGAAAGTGCTTGATTTTTTAAAAATCCTGTCTACTAGTTAACTGTTAAATGGATTCACTTTTTTGCAGTCAACATTACACTTTAATATACTGACAGAAGCAAGTCCTGGCAGGACCTAGAGTTTCACAGAGGCGGATTTAGGGGGGGGGAATATTTTGAACATGTTGATTTTTTTTATGTCAGATTTTTTTTTTATGTCAGAATATTTATTTTCAAAATCAGCCAGCAATGCTTTCCCATCCCCAGTTGGGAAACCGTAGATCTTAAGGTCATGTTGGTATTTTAAACAATATCGGACAATCCTTGTGATATTTTATGACAAGTTGTTGACCAAAGACGTATTATCTAAAGTTAACATCCCATTTGAATTATTGCGCGGAAAGAACTCGCACGTGTTTTTATTAAATAAGTTATTTCCCCTTAGTACCACGAGAAGGTAGGTAAATTTCTTCCTGGTAAAATTCCTCTTCAAACTGCCTGATAATTTCTTTGCTCTGCAGAAAACATTTATGTGAACTTCAAAAGAAGCAAGGTAAGGAAGAGATTATTATCAATCTGTTTTTCTCTGTGTCTTCTGTTCTGTTCTGTTCTGTTCTGTTCTGGTATATTCCTCCGTTTTATCGGAGCACTCCACTTATCGAATGAGTATTAAAATTTTAAATACTTAACCGAAAAAGCGGATATTTTTATATTTACGATATGAAAAATATATAATTTTAAAATAAAATTAGTTAGTTAAAGTGAATAAAATAAAAGTTTATAATGTCTTTGATGATATTTTAAAAGATATTAATACAAAAAAAAAAAAATAATATTATTCACACGTTACAAATTACGGCACTTTGATTCACCAATATGAATAAATAAAAAATTTACAACCTAACGATATCTAGTCAATAGGTGCCCTGCCAAGGCAAATGTTAAAATTATATAGCATCTTTTATGCTGATATTTATAGACTGAACCAGTTAGCTTGGCATCCCATGCAGACTGTTCAGACTATATTTAATATTAATGTTATATTTTCATGTCACTTGATATCACATAAAAGTTGTGTACGCTTCATGTGTAAATGGTAGCATAAATCTTGTGTCTTCCTTTCTATATCTAGCAACTTGTCTATTGGTTGATTACTCATTATGTCTAGTGCTGAGCAGTCTAATATAATTTTGAGTAATAGTTCATTATTAATAACATTTGTTGTACCACCCCTTTCTATTTCTCGTAGCATTTTGAATAATTTATCCATATATCGCTGCCTAACATCAGATAGACTTAAGCAATGTAGTAGGAAATGTTCCAAGGTTTCTTCAGATTCATTGCATAGCTTGCAATTTGGTTGAATAGCATTTTTACTAAATTTTGCCCTAGTACTTTGGAGCATGTAGGTACCAGTTACTAGCTTACATTTGAATTCTGCCTTTTTTATGTCATATTGGTTATTTCTAACACATTTCCAAATGTTATGTGGATTATAGACCGGATTTTTTTGAAGAGATAAGTGTTTAAGTGTTGATTTTGTGTTACATTCTATTGTCCAAATTGAAGACCAGTATTCATTTATTGATGTTTTCAATTGTTTTTTCCACATATATTTTGATGGAGGATGTTCCATAATTTCTTCTGCTTTTGGCAATTGATATTTTTGCAAAATTTTATTTATACGACAAATAAAAGAGTTGTCAAAATTTGAACTAATTTCCAATTCCCATTCTAATATTTTACGTTCTATCGAGCTATCCAGGCGAGAGATTGAGAGAAATAGTGCTAGCATGTTTTTGTCTAAAATCGACTCAATGGGCTCAGCTCCTATTAGTATATATACTGCTGCGGATGCTGTTCTTTCTGGTAGACATTGGAATTGTTTAAATATCTTCCTTTGTAATTTTTCCAGTTCAGATATATCCTTTTTTGTGCATATTTGAACCTCACGTCACAAATCTTATCAAATGTTAAAATCTTTAAATATTAAAAAAGTGACCAACACCACCATTAAATAACATTTTTAACAAGTGTTTAGCCATGCACAACTTGCCAGAAAGTTTTACATGTAGAATATGGGCAGAATATGGAAAAAGAAATCAATGGCGTATATCATGTAGCATATATCTAAGGGAGCTGCCATTTGATTTTTATGGGGGGCGCTAAGGATGAAAAATTTTGTCCTGCATTTTTTTTAGTTGTAATCTCTGTCCTGCCTTTTTATTTTTCACTCTATTCGGTCCTTCCCTTTTTTTTTAAGTTTATCCTGACTTTTTTTTACATAATTTGTCATCCTGCCTTTTTTTTTTGCCAAGTGTCTCATCCTGCCTTTTTTTTTACTCAAAACGCCTGTCCTGCCTATTTTTTTCAAATTTCATCCTAGCCCCCCCCCCCCCATAAAAATCAAATGGTAGCTCCCTAAGACGCTAGTACTTGTAGTAATATAAATCATTGCACAACTTTTGTTCCTGTGCACACTGGTGCACTTTTTTCTTTATGTAAATCCCTCCACTGTTGGAGCACATATAGCTGAATGAGTTTAACGGAAACGGAGGGAAAAATAAATTAATTCATAATTAAAATGCAGCATAAAAGCTTTATTATTTTACACCATTAAAACAGAAATGTATGTGTATATGTATTGTGTAACCGGAGCTAATTATCCTGTTTAGTTTTCATGTAAATTTCTTAATTGTTTCTGGGTAAATGTTGATGTCTTTTTTTTAGTACGGTTTTGGTATGATTGTTCACTGAGATCAACCTAAACTATATTCTAACTATTTAAACCACCAAAACCATAAAGGAACAACCAGAATTATTAACAACGACTAAAACAACAACAATAATCTGAACAGTGTCATATTAATGACTAAACCTTCAAAACAGGGTATAGTTAAGCTCTTGTAGTTCGATCCTGAATCTTTGACTCCTCTTGGTAGATTATTTAAACAAAGTCAATCAAGTTCATATACTCTAATCATATTAAGGTAGATGGGGTGTCTAAATTATAATCCATAGAATTTTTTAATAATTGGCTAAAATGTAGTTTATTTCATGCTTTTTTTTTTAAAATAATAAAAAGAATGGGTCACAGGGCTTATTTTCACGCTACAGGTTGTGCAAAATTGACAGATTTTTGTATAGATTATGCATGCAAAACCCAATTTTCTGCCATAAAACAAAAACTACACCATAGAATTTTGAGATGAAATATGAGGAGATACAGTCAGGGGTACTACTTGTACAAGTAATCTTTATTTACTTGAAGAAGTAAATAAAATATACTTATATAAGTTAATTATAATGTTTGAATAATCTCCCCTTAATTTTCTCAAAAATTTACTTGTATAAGTAAATTTTATTTACAATCCCACAAAAATTCTCAAGTTTTGAGATGTAAAATCATGCCTTTAACAATTTTTCTCAGGTTTGCTCATAATTTTTCATAAGAGTTCAATGTTTCATCTCATTAATTCAACAAAGAAACTGATTGCGCAAAGATCTTAAGTATTTGCGTATTTGCCCAAGGCCTTCAAAAATTGCTCCTTGGGGGCTTGTAAATGAGCAGTGTTCTGAAGATAAACAGACAAATGAGATTTTCATTGTCTATGAAATTACACTTAAATGATTAGTAAAGACATCTGCAAAGGACAGACAATTCAAAATTCTGTTAGATCAAAGAAGTTCTAAGAATTCAAGAAAAGAAGATAGGATGACTTTTTTACTTGTATAAGTAAAAAAACTGAATGTCTAAGGGAAATAACTAGGCCAAAAAATAATTTACCTATACAAGTAAATAAAATACACTTGTTTAAGTATCCTACAAATCTACTTATATAAGTATATTTATATTTACTTCTTCAAGTAAATAAAAATTACTTGTACAAGTAGTACCCCTGACTGAGATAGCTCTAATATTATGCTTTCAGATAAGAAAAAGAAAAAATGGGGTCACGGGACCCGTTTTCTTGCTACTTAATAAAATAGGTAAATTCCTAACACATTCTATTGTAAAAGTAACTTTATCTGAATTATCTGCCCTTACATTTGAGTTGCCTCCCCTTATGTGACAAAATTGGAAAAAATTGAATCAAACAAAAGTATTCTGTTTTTTGTAAAATACAACCATAAATATGATAAAACATGTCATTTTTATACGACCACAAAAAAATTTTGTGGTCGTATATTGGTATGACGTTGGCGTCGTCGTCGTCCGGCGTCGTCGTCCGAAGACACATTGGTTTTCGCACTCTAACTTTAGTTTAAGTGAATGGATCTTTTTGAAATTTGACCATAAGGTTAAATATCACAAAAGGAAGGTTGGGATTGATTTTGGGGGTTATGGTACCAACAGTTAAGGAATTAGGGGCCAAAAAGGGCCCAAAAATAAGCATTTTCTAGTTTCCAGACAATAACTGTGGAACGGTGTATGGATCTCTCTGAAATTATATTACATGTTTCCATACCACAAAGGGATGGTTAGGATTTGCTTTGGGGGGTTATGGCTCAAACCGTTTAGGAATTAGGGGCAAAAAAGGGGGGAAAACAAGGTTGTTCTGGTTAATGGACAAATACTTTAGTTCAAAACATAATTTAAAGCAGTGTAAGGGAGATAAATCAAATACATCATTGAAATTATCTCCCTTACACTGCTTTTAAATTATGTATAAAGTAATGGTTAATGAACAATAAAGATAATTTAAAACAGTGTAAGGGAGGTAATCCAAATACAACGTTTTGGTTACTTCCCTTACACTGTTTTTAAATTATGTGTAAAGAAATGCATATTTATAAAGGAAGACCAGTAAAAATATCTGCAAATGTTGCATCTTTTTTTTTTACAAAAAAATCCATATGAAGGTCCAACTTTGTTTGATTATAGCAAAAATTGAATATATGAGGTTCTTTGATATGATGAATCTAAACATGTATTTAGATTTTTGATTTTTGGCCCAGTTTTCAAGTTGGTCCAAATTGGGGTCCAAAATTAAACTTTGTTTGATTTCAACAAAAATTGAATATATGGGGTTCTTTGATATGCTGAATCTAACCATGTATTTAGATTTTTTATTTGTGGACCCCGTTATCAAATTGGTTCATATTGAGGTCAAAAGGGTCCAAAATTAAACTTTGTTTGATTTCATCTAAAATTGAATTATTGGGGTTCTTTGATATTCCAAATCTAACCGTGTATTTAGATTTTTAATTTTGGGTCCTGTTTTTTAAATTGGTCTACATTAAGGTCCAAAGGGTCCAAAATTAAACTTAGTTTGATTTTAACAAAAATTGAATTCTTGGGGTTCTTTGATATGCTGAATCTAAACATGTGTTTAGATTTTTGATTATGGGCCCAGTTTTTAAGTTGGTCCAAGATAGGGTCCAGTATTTAAACTTTGTTTGATTTCAACAAAAATTGAATATATGGGGTTCTTTGATATGCTGAATCTAAACATGTATTTAGATTTTTGATTATGGGCCCAGTTTTCAAGTTGGTCCAAATTGGGGTCCAAAATTAAACTTTGTTTGATTTTAACAAAAATTGAATATATG